ATGTCCACTCTCTCCATTCTTGTTTAATTTTATCATAGACATGCTACTAGAAATAACCTTATCCTCGTCTGAATTTTCTGGAGTAGCCCTTCTACCAGGAGGCTCGCTTATAGACCTAGAATATACCGATGAGATAGTTCTATTCGGTGAAGACGCTGACAAAATGCAGTCTTCTGACCACCCTGAGCAACAATGCAAGCATGTTCGGGATGCAATTCCCTACACTCGAAATGCAAAATATTGCTTCGGGATTGGGTTTCATCGGTACCTGAACTAGTGATAAGGAGTGAAGTAGTCGAACATGTAGACCGCTTCACGTATCTGGGGAGTCTCATCAGTGCTGATGTCATGGTGACTGACGAAATCTCAGCTCGGATACAGAAAGCTCGATTGGCTCTTGCCAACCTGCGTTACTTATGGCGCAGGCGAGATATCTGCTTGTTAACCAAAGGACGAGTGTACTGTGCAGCAGTTCACTCCGTCCTACTTTATGGCTGTGAAACATGGCCAGTCAGAGTAACATATTTTTTTCTGTAATTAGCTGATGAGAACTGAACGAAATAAGATGAAATCACATATTTGTTTTTACACTCTTCAAGATAATAAAAGGAGCTCTATGTGTTTGAAATAAATATAAGATACTCTTGTGTATGCATGAGACAGGTCCTGGGTTCGATTCCCGTGTGCGCAGGTCATGGATATGTACTATTGATGAATGCCATACTAGGATGAAACGGTCATCCAATACTAACAGGTTTCGAATGATGATGATCTAACTTGGATCGATTCTATGATTTCAATGAAAAGTAAAATGAATTCACATGTTATTCTCTTAAAAATCTTTTCTTTCTTATATCTGACTTCGTTATCGTCAGGTTCAGTTCAAAGCAACACTTAATCAAGTTGAACTTCAATGGATACGTAATACTTTTTCCTCTATTATTTATTGTGATATATATAGTAGCAGAACGTTTCAATGATGAAGAAAATTTATTATTTATTATTTCAAGTAAGAATTAATCAATGAATGTTTTAATTCAAATAATTTCGTAATCTTTCTAAATCTCTGGCTATGTGGTGTCCTTTCGAATATTCCGATCTTTTGATCTCCTCTTTCATTTATTCGTTTTGAATTGTATTTCTCATAGTTAAGATTATAATCAGAACGAACTGGCAATTTGAATTAATTGGAAACACTGAGATTTTTGTAAGACACAGGAAACAAGCAATGATGGATGAAAAAAAAATCGATAACCACTTGATCAAAATATATTTTGGCTTTTCCTATCCTTTGAACAAATCACAATTGATCCATTATTCTCGAGTCATTATTCATTTATGCATGTTTTGACCATGTCAGTCATTCGCTGTTAACCTTGGTTGTTTTTATTTGTTTGTGTGTGTGTGCATTGCTTATTACGCTTATTTTAATTACCCCATGCTCAAATCCAGTTGGTACAGTGGCCTTCTGATGAGCTTTGTGCTCCACTTCCAAGCACCGTGTTATTGTCCGTTTGCAAATGCGGAATGTGTTGGAAATGATGAATTCATCCAATTAAAACCCTATTAGTCTCTAAAATTACTGTCATCTCACGAATGGGTATAGCTTGATCACATGACGTGCCATTTGACCTTGTCAATCATTCGTCTCTTTGTTCATATGTGCCTATTTCGCTTGTTGCATGTCTGACTTATATTTGTCTGACTACCTATTCTTAGTCATACTCTATTTCTTTGAGTTGGCTCTTAGCCTTCTCCAATGCTCTTCGCCTATTTGTTCGCTCATTCTTTCGCTGCTTTTCAACTTTGCTATGTGGTGTGTCCAAAATATGAACGTTGTCATACTTCGAATTCGCCTTCCGATTTATAAACCGTCAGACACTACTTAGTGACGATTGTCTAGACGAGCTAATTACCGAGCTATCCGAACACGCAGATAAATGGCCCCCACAAGTATTATATCATATTAGAGGACTACGAAAGTTATCATTCAGAAGATACAAGTGTTTATTAACAATTGTCAGACACACAAGATACTGAAGATCCGTTGGTCGGACACCATCAACAACAACAACAACAACCAACTGTTCTGAGAAAACAAAGTAGATTCCCGCAGAAGAAGAAGCGCTATAGGTGAATGGGACACACATTGAGGCAATCAACCAACTACATCACAAGACAAGCAGCCTTCATTTAGAATCCTTAAAGCCGAAAGAGACAATATGAACACCAAAGAATGCATTATGATAAGAATTGGAAGCAGACATGAAAAGAATGATCAGCAAGCAACTGGGTAAGACTGGAATGGAAGGTTGGCTAATGCTAGCTAGTCGGTGACGACCTATGCTGAATGAGAGGTAACAGGCGTAAGTAAGTAAGTAAGTAGGTAATTACATAATAACTAGAACAAGAGAAAAGTGTAAGAACGAATTCCACATGCAGAATTATTACAAAACACGTAATTCATATCCTACCTAAACAGAATTTACACTTCCAGCACTTCTTCCTGATTTCTTTGTCCACTGCAATCCGGTTTGGTCTCTTCCACAGTAGGTTATTGCTAATGGTATCTGGTCAACGGATCCAAAGTATCTTGTGTAGACAACTGTTAATGAATACTTGTATCTTCTGGATGATGGCTATGATAGTCCTCCAAGTTTCCACCCCATAGAGTAAAACTGTCTTGACGTTTGTAACGAAATTTCTGATTTTGGTGTTGGTTGATAGTTGTTTTGAGTTGCAGATGTTGTTCTATTGTAAAAATGCAACCCTTGCTTTCCCGATCCATGCCTTCACATCTACATCGGATCCACCCTGATCGTCATTGATGTCGTCGAGATATGCGAAGGTTTTCACTTCCTCAAAGGCATCTCCATCAAGAGTGATTTGGTTGGCGCATAGTGTGTGTTGTATCGTAGAATCTTACTTTTCCCTTTATGTATGTTAAGATCTACTGCTGCTGAGGCCACTATGGGATTCGAATTTCACTTCGTAACTGGATTGAATATCGTGAGGTAGTAGCTCTAGTGTTTCATTTCAGTTGAGGTTACAGTTCAAGTTTCAATAATAAACATTGATAATAGAATATGATGTACATATATATGGTTATCACCTAACTACGTCACAAGACAAGTCCTCACTTAGAATTTTCAAGGTCAAAAGAAAAAAAAAAGAATGTCAAACAACTCGTAACGATGAGTATTGGAGACAGACATGAGAAGAAGTATGAACAGCAGTTGGATAGAAGTGGAACAGAAGGCCCAAGAGTGTAGGTTGGAGAGTGTTAGTTGGTGACCTATGCTCCACTGAGGGTAACAGGGGTCATGGATGTGCATTTTGGATGAGCCTCACAACAGCATCAGACGGTCTTCCAACTTTCTAATAGTTGTCTAACATTTGTAGATTCATTATATTTCAATGAAACTCAATAATCTCCACAATCCTATAATGAAAGTGTGAATATATTTTGAACAACTATATATTGAGTCACATTATTGAAAAACTCTACCGTCTCATAATCGTGTTGTGGTGTGAGCTACTTATAAGTAGTATATGACGTGAGCGTCAACGTAATGTCTGGCAGCAGAAGATGGGGGGAAGATTAAGAAAGGAAGAGTTAGAAAACAATGGAATTTGTGTATGAAACGCATGAATAGTGACAATGGATTGATGTTTTGCAACAGGAACAGTCTAGTTCGATATGATGAACTGATATTTTGCAAATTAAAACGATTTACGATATGGTTTTCCGATTTTACTGAGTAACTCTGTAATTTTCGTTAAATACAATCCGTTTGCCCCACCTGTGTTCTTCTTCACTACAGTGTGAGTAGTAGTTTCCTATTGAAGTTGAGGTAGAGGATTTTTTTAACAGAGCATACCAATGTAACACTCCTGGCCACAAGCGAAATGTTGTTAATACCCTAGTAATAAAGAGATATTCGTTCAAGAACAAATAAATGCTGTAAACAACTGTGACAATGAAATTAAAGTATGATAGGGTTGTAGAGTTGAGTTGTTGAGTTACTTTTTAATATCATGTTACGATCAATGTTATGCTACCTTTATTAGAAACCTGGGAGCACTGGATAGCCGTTTTGTCTTGGTATGGGACTGACTCACCAACAACGCGCATCCATGACTCACGCTACTCAGAGGATTCGAACCGAAGACCTTCGAAGTCTAGGAGAAGGTTAGGCGTTCTTGCGTAAGACCGAAAGTATGGGAGTTGCGGATGCTCAGTCAGTCAGTCAGATGCAACGTAGAACTTCGTATGTAAGTACATCAGTTCATGTCACCATACCACATCAGCACAGAGATATAATTGTCAATTCAAATCCAATAGTAAAAGAGGTAGTAAAGGTATTAGAAGCAATCGGAGAGGTTAGGATTAGTAGATATTATTCAAGAAGTATGATTTAATGAGAAAAGTTTAGAAATTCAAAACTAGAGGGGTTGAAGAATCCAGAAGATCAGGATTTGAGAGAACACAAAGAATAAATGCATACGGCGGCATTGCGAACGATTTTGAGCCATGTCATTCAAGGTCTCTAACCATCGATTATTATCATCTCGCGGACCCCAACCAGGTCGTCGACAATTACCAACATGGCTAAGTCCACTCGTCAATGAGTTCATAGATTTCTGCCATGTTTTGGTTTGGCCGCCCCTAACTATCTTCCAACCTATTCCTACACTACAAAACACAACTCGTCGAGGTAGTCGGTGGTTAGGCATACGCAACATATGTCCCAACCACCTCAACTGATGAAGTTTCAGTACTTCATCTATTAATCTGCCATTCTTACCTAGCACCCGATTCCTAATAACAGCGTCGATGAGTTGTTACATACCAAGACAAACACAGCTGTCCTAATGCTCCCAGGTTTCTCCGAATGGTAGCATAACATTGATCAATTCGTCGATTTCAATGATGAACAATGAATTTTTATCAACATAATAATAATAATAAAAACAAATCAAATTATTAAATTACTTACTTGTTTACTTGTTTAGATGAATTATTATTATTATTATTATTATTTGTATTTGTATTTTTGGATGACATAAATTAATGAGAATTGAAAATTGTAAGAGGAGAGATATTTATCATTCAAAATCAATCATTCAAATCAATGTGAAGTGAATTGAATCAGTTTTACGGACCAATTACAAATATCATCTTCTATGTATGATGATAGATGCGTCGATGATACGAAACGTTGTATGAATTCGGTTAAATTTTCATAACTGGATCACTTATTTGTTATATGTGTAGTATATATATTGATAAAAATTCTAGATCAAACTCACTTATACGCACACACACACACACACACAATCGAACTACCTACCTATCAACCAACATACAAAAGAATATCGTTCAGGTTTTAAATGTCTATCTCCCCAAAAATAAGATAAGGTTGGCTGTGACAAGCTAGTTGTGTTGTATAGTAGGTAGGTAGTTTGCTACTGCTAGCTAGCTAGCTGTACAACAAACCCACGCTTAAAATCGAAATCGGCATTCCAATTGGTTTATCCTGGGCATTTTATTCTACAGAATAAAAAAAGCAAATGGACTTTTTTTTCTGTATCATCAAAATAAAAGTCATTTAAGAGTTGGCAGAAGTAATAACAACAACAACAACAACATAGGCAATAATTTATTGACCATATCAGTTAGTTAGTTAGTTAGTTAGTTACTCTTGTTCTATTCGATAATTTCACAGACTTACTTGGATAAACAGACATTGATCGGTCAACAATGGTCAACAGCAATTACTTACTCACTCATGTGGTGATAGTTGAAAGAAGAAGAAAGGTCTTATTGTCTGTCTGTCTGTGTTGGTTGGTTGGATTCTAGGGCAACATATTGACTAGTTTAGTGATCTGACTTTGATATTTACAAATCACTGTGAATATGCTATGATATGAATTCATTCGATCGAATCGGTATTTGACTGACAGAAATTGAAAGGGAAATTTTTTTAAGATAGTATATTTTCTAATTGCTCGTAAATATCAACATCCGATCATTATTGGTCATTAAAGTAGTGAGCACTGTTTCAAATGTAACTTACTTACTTACTTACTTACTTACGTCTGTTACCCCCAATCGAGCATAGGCCGCCCACCAGTTTTCTCCAACCAACTCTGTCCTGGGCTTCCCTCTTCAGTTCTGTCCAATGTTTGTTCATTCCTCTCATATCTTTCTCTATTTTTCGGCGTAATTTATTCTTTGGCCTTTCTCTTTTCCTTTTGCCTTGAGGGTTCCATGTGAGAGCTTGTCTCGTGACGCAGTTAGGTGCTTTCCGCAATGTGTGTCCTATCCACTTCCACCGCTTCTTCCTGATTTCCTCATCCACTGGAATCTGATTTGTTCTCTCCAACAGTTCGTTGTTGCTGATCGTGTCTGGCCAACGAATACAAAGTATTTTGTGCAGACAACTGTTAATAAACACTTGTATCTGATGGATGATGGCTTTCGTAGTTCTCCATGTTTCTGCTCCATACAGTAGAACTGTCTTCACATTTGTATTGAAACTCCTGATTTTGGTTTTGGTTGAAAGTTGTTTGGAGTTCCAGATATTTTTCAAATGTAGAAATGCAGTCCTTGCTTTGTCAATCCGTGCCCTCACATCTGCATCGGATCCGCCTTGGCTGTCGATTATGCTGCGAAGATATGTAAAGTTGTTAACGTCCTCGAAAGCATCTCCATCAAGAGTGATTTGGTTGGTGCATGTTGTGTTGCATCAGAGAATTTCGCTTTTTCCTTTATGTATGTTGACACCTACTGCTTCAGAGGCTGCTGCTACACTGGTCGTCTTCTCTTGCATTTGTTGTTGCGTGTGAGATAGAAGAGCCAAGTCATCTGCGAAGTCCAGATCGTCCAGCTGCGTCCTAACTGTCCAGTTGATACCGTGCTTCCCTCCAGATGTTGACGTTTTCATAATCCAGTCGATGACCAGGAGAAAGAGAAAGGGTGAGAGTAAGCAACCTTGCCTCACACCGGTCTTCATCTCGATCTTTTCAAATGTAACGCAGTCATAGAAATGGCTTCCATTGTATGTAAAATTTTATAGTACATGTGTAACGGAGTTAAAATCACTATGTATGATGTTGATAACCCGTTCTGTGTTTTCTTTCTATTTCAGGGCGAATAAAAACACAAACGCTGTGGAAGCTGAAGAACAAGCCCTGAGTGCTTTGAACTTAAAGGATGACTCATAAGACTTTGGTACATTACCCACCCACCCTATTTCCGTAAAAACCCCGCGTATTTAAAATTTTCAAATAAAAGAGTGCCGTGGCAACCACTTAGTGTTCTTCTCTCTTGGTATGAGGTGTTAAACTAACCTTGTGTGTTGTGATATTAGATCCTCTCCGCCCTTCAGTGAGTGCTGATTACACTTGTTACACATGCTTTTGATAGAATGATTTTTACAAATAGCCATACATTTACGTGCATATATACACATAGGCTGTGTACTATGATGAGTGATTTTTAAATGAATCTATTAGTCGTTTCCCACTGTAAGTATCAGTGACATATTTTATCAATTAATCCTCTATTGGAAAAGGTAAATTTACTATATTGGTTTTCAGGCGAGAACTAAGGAAACTGCGCGCGTGTTAACATTTCAGTCTGAACAGTTCACTCAATCCTGTGGTGCAACCACACAGATAATACCTGACACCTTGGTGGATCGTTCATACCATATTTATATACACTAGTATATATATAGCGATGATCGCTTCGTCAATCAATATGCATCGCACAAACAGGTCAATTCGACTCATTCCGCTTGCATGACTGTTAAACTCATGATTATTATTAGCAATGGCGATATACAATAAAGCTTCCCAATGACCATAGTCCTCGGAAATGTTGGAAAACAACCACCAGTATCATTCAAATCGGTCACTCTGCAGTACTTGCCAAAGTAATTCCAAGTTATCCACAATATTTACAGTGAAACTCTGGTCTCATAAGAAACCTTCAGCTCTATACTGCAGTATAGCGTATAGTATACACAAAGTATATCATAGGATAGCAAGAGATACAGGCTAGCTTGATGCGAATAGGGTCAAACAATCTTATTACGCTTTGTCACATGTTGGGTCATCATTTATTCACAAAATCGAAAATTTCATTTTGTTTGACCATAATGAGACCTGTCGTTAAGGGTAGTAGTAGTATCCCTATTGTAAATGTCGCTTCACTTATCTGGCGAGTCTCATCAGCGCTGATAGCCTGGTGACTGACGAAATCTCAGCACGGATACAGAAAGCTCGATTTGCTTTTGCCAAGCTGCGTCACTTATGGCGTGGGCGTGATGTCCGTTCGCTAAACAAAGGACGGGTGTACTGCGCAGTAGTTCGCTCCGTTCTCCTATATGGCTGTGAAACATGGCCGTTAAGAGTAGAATATGTTCGTAGGTTACTAGTATTCGATCATAGATGTCTAAGGAGCATTGCTCGTATATCGTGGGACAACCGAATAAGCAATGCTGTCGTTAGGAAACGAGTACTAGGTAAGGATGGTAGATCAATAGATTAAATGGTGAACATTCATCAGTTGAGGTGGTTGGGACATGTGTTACGTATGCCTAACCACCGATTGCCTCGACGAGCTATGTTTTGTGGTGTAGGAGTAGGTTGGAAGAAATCTAGGGGCGGCCAAACCAAAACATGGCACCAATTCATGAAGTCACTGACAAGTGGACTGAGTCATGTTGGTAAATGTAGACTACCTGTTTGGGGTCCGCGAGACGAAAGTCACCAATGGTTAGAGACCTTGAACGACATGGCTCAAAATCGTTTGCAATGGCGCAAGTGCATCCATTCTTTGAGCTTTCTCAAATCCTAATCTTCTGGATTGGTCAACACTTCTACCTTTGTCTTTCTAACCTTATCTCGCTTAATTATACTTCTTGAATAATATCTTCAAACCATAGTCTTCTTCATTACCATTAATACCTCTACTATCTTTATCACTATGGGATTTGATTTGACATTTGCGTCTCTGTGCTAATGTGGTATGGCAACCTGAACTTATGTACATACGTACGAAGTTCTACGTTGCAACTAACTAACTAAATGTCAATTGAACATGAATTCTTTTCTAGGTGTTTCTTTGTTTTAATTTTTTTTTTTAATTTATACGAATAACAAATCATCATTAAGAATATTATTCCTCTGGATCGATATGATTTAGTGTGTGTTATTGTGTTGTTTACATTCAATTTCAAGTGATATATTTTTAATTGGTGGTGCATAGAGCAATTCGATTTAAATATGAAATATACAGTAAGGTTTGATTTGTTTAAATCTAATATATTGATCAAATCAATCGAACAAGGTACATTCAGTTTTTTTTTGGAGAAAAACTAATCATGAACTACTAGTTTAAACTTTTATTCGAGTGTGAAACAACAGTAATATACTGGGTTCGATTGTCGAAGTGAACATCAACTCTTAAGTAGGTAGGTACTCTCCACTGTTAGTTATTTTCATAACTAATTGTAGTTATGCTATAACTAACCAATCAAATTGTGGTTTGAGTGCTCATCACGTGATCTGATCTGACATGCCTGTAAACGAACTTTATTGTAAATGACCTACTAATTTTGAAGGACATTATTGTTTTATTATTATTGATTGATATGACTCATAGTTTTATTTATTTCTATATGACACACTTTATTGGTCGGTACGTTTGTGTTCGTTTTACTTGATAACTGTAATTTTCTTTAATTATTGTACTAATTTAATTGTTTTTATGTTTAGAAACAGATAAAGTTTAAAACCGAATTGGTCTTGTGCGTGACTATAGCTTTCGCACAGACTTTGTGCTCCCCAATATTGCGTTTACAGTTCTAGAAGTACATCGACTGATGATGAATCCCGAATAGAATGAAACACACACATCCTGCATACCACTAGTAGTAGACATGGTCTATCTATTTTTATGCAACAAGGAAATTCTCTAAAGGTTTTCTTTAATTTCCTCTATCCAGTATATTTCAACATTTTTTTCCTGGTCAAACGTATATTCACAACTTTCCTCATGATTTCATATATAAGGTGTGTTGGGGATGTTAGATCCCCAGAATTCGCTTGATAAGTGTCTTAATCTTGGATTTTATTCATGGGTTGATCAATTGACCTTCAGATCACATTTCTCACCAACAAAATCCTTGACTGTGATTGGTAACTGTGTTATTTTAGTGTGCTATTTTGTGACTCTCACAAGGACGTCTCTGTGGTGTATAAATAAACTCGATTTGTATGCTTGAATTCATTGTGTTTGCTGGGTATTTGTAGAATACACTTTCTACACTATATCAAGACATTTTCGTTAGTTCCTTTGAGT